TTTTTCCTAATTTTCTTGTGATCTGCATAGTTTTCTGATGACATCTGACCACTACTAGAATGCTCAGTGAGTACCAGTCAGTGCATTGGCTTTTTTGTAGCACATCATTTATTGTCTAAGTGTATCATCACGAATGCGCTATCTTTATTTTGTGAAGGAGGAAGTAAGTATTCTTGAAGCTCTATCTTACAACATGCAATCTTTTAATATCAGTAATCCTTCCTATTCATTAGGTGGACTCACAAACCAGTTTTATCGTTAACCATGGAATACTTGCGAATCTCCTGAAAAATGGTGCTGATAGAAATTTTCAAACCACGGAAGTTGCGACAATTAATGTTTTTGGACAAAGTAATGAGAAGACGTAATTTATCTGAATCGTGTAATGTATTTGACCAGCGCATTTCGAACAATCTGATCACACGCGTACATTTCATAGGAATATGTATGAAAATGATAAAGTGTTAAGAGGTTAGAAAATAGACCTAGGTCAAGTTCGCACTTCAGTTATCAGTTTTTTCGTTGACCTAGTCTGAAAATTGTTTTATATTTTATGTTTTGAAATTATTGACCTTACTGTATTACTGGCTCATATATATATCTTAATTCTGTTATTTCATTGTTCAATCGCACTCAATTTTGTTAACGATATTGATCCTGTCTAGTTGGTTATTTAGTCACGAATACAACCACACGAGAAGCAACGTAGCCTTCCATGACGAAGTCTTAAGGCTTCCTTATGATGCGAATATTCTTTACATATAGAACGCAGAATTTATTCGGTGTAATACTACACACAAACTCTTAAATAGCAGAAGAAGAGTAATAGGGTTCATAATCGTGAATGGCGTATAAGATTAGGTGCATGGAGTTGGTCTATAAAGTTAGCGCAAACTCATCTTTCCCTCACAAATGAAACAAGTGGACCAATAGGTTTTGACTTACAGTTTAGACTGAGAGCATAGAACCTCTTCAGAATCATCTTACATCTTTAAAACATTTTTCTCTTATCAAACTAAGTGTTATATTGTGAGTCTACAAACAACCAGATTCGCTTAAAAATCCCACTGTTTTCCATACCGTAACACAGTGGTGCAGATTATCAATATAACCAAACTCAAAGAAAATACAACCTCGCCTAGTTTAGTTGCTTGCTGGTTTTCTGGTCGGTACCGAACCCGGGAAAGGATGGAGGGTTGTGTGTGGGGTTAGCGACCCTACCCCCAGGAAACCAATCGAACTGTTACAGAAACTTCGACGCACAAGAAAAATAATTAGAATACAAAAAATATCAAAAACAACCTTATTTCTGGCTGGAATCGGAAAGACGAAATGATGCGGCCTAGTGAAAGCCTTCGGCAAGCCAGTCAACCGATGCCTTCATTCGATAAAAGCCAAAGTGAGTATGGGTAAGTGGAATGTCCGCACAGTGTACGAGACTGGGAAAGCTGCCCAGGTAGCCAAAGAAATCTGAAGATGTGGTATAGAAGTGATGGATATCTGCGAGAGCAGATGGAATGGATGTGGACTATCTAAATTATCAACTGGTGAGTCAGTAATCTACTCCGGTCACCCAGACGACAAATACGAGCACACTGAGTCAGTGAGTGGCTAACATGGTGTCACCCGTGGCAGCCAAAGCCCTAATGCAGTGGGAACCAATTTCATCCAGGATCATGACAGCAAGATTCAACTCAAAAGGAGGAAAGGAATGTTACAATTATCAAATTCTACGCACAGGGCTAAAAACGACGTGGAACAAGAGAAGAAGGAAGAGTTCTATAGACAACTGCAAACAGTGATGCACGACATCCCGAACGGCGACATCGAAATCATTATGGGCGATATGAATGCCAGTCGAATTGGGAGTAGACAATACGGGAAGAGAACTTACCATGAGTTGAGAGGCTGTCGACTAAATGAGTGACAATGCAGAACTCTTCACAGACTTCTGAGCTTTCAATGATTTAGTGATTGGAGGCAGCGTATACAAGCACAAGGATATACACAAAGCAACATGGATTTCACCTGACAGACACACCACAAACCAGATAGACTTCATCCCAATGCTGCTCAAGGAAGTGGAGACACAGCCAGTCTGCTGTACACAAAGTCAAGAAGGGGAGCAGATGTGGGCTCAGACCATCATCTAGTTCAAGCAACCCTCAAGATGAAGCTGAAGTCCTCCAAAACAGCTGGAGACAGGCCACAACTCAAGTTCAACATTCAGAAACTGAAGGACGAAACTACAAGGGATAACTCCCCTACAGACGAGATCAGAACAAAGTCGGAGACACTACGTGGCATTACTGAAGAGACCTGTGTGGATGAACATTGGAACTAACTCTCTGAAGGTGATGTTCAAGGAAATGTGTACAACTGTTCTGGGAAGAAAGAAGAGGCAAGACAAGGAATGGCTATCAACGGATGCCTGGAAGCTAATAGAAGAGAGAAGGATGGTGAAAGAGAAGACAGACCAATGCAAAGATGGAGAACAGAAGGGGAAGCTGAATAAATAAGTGAAGAAGAGTGCTAGGAAAGACAAAAGACAATTCTACAGCATCGTTGAATGTGAATGGTACATTAAGTGTACATCTCCGAAGTAGTTCTTTTAAACAAGTCTACAACACACTGGCCGGCAAGTGAATCGACCATCACCTGCAACTCGGCCAGAAATACCAGCAACAGCATGCACAGAACTGCTTGCCACTGGACACCAATCCTCCAACGAAAGCAGAAATCCTGAATGTGATCGGGCTACTGAAGTTCAGTCGGGTAGACAGCAGGGCCAGACGGAATTCCCCCCGAAGTACTGGAAACGGACCCAGAGACTTCAGCGGATATGCTGACGCCACTAGCACAAAACATTTTGTAAGGGAAGAAAGGAGTCTACTGACTGGAAGAAGGGCTACCTTGTCAAGCTGCAAAAGAAGGGTGACTTAAGCCTCTGCAAGAACTGGCGTGGAGTCATGCTCTTGACCACACCAAGTAAAATACCAAGTCGCATCATCCTGGAGAGAATAAAGGATGCACTGCATGCAGAACTCCGACAGACCGGAACAAGCTGGATTCAGGAAAGGCAAATCATGTGCTGATCAAATTGCAACTCTACGCATCGTCATCACAGAACAAAGCATAGAATGGCAGTCAAAATTCTACATCAACTTCCTGCATTGACTTTGAATAGGCCTTCGACAGACAGCGTTGAGCAAGAAGTAGTTTGGAAACTGTTTCGACACCATGGTGTGCAGTACCCGAATCTTTATCAACCTCATTCAACGGCTGGCCATATGACAATGGTACGTGTCAAATGATTGATACACAACGGAAAACTCAGCATAGCCTTTGAAGTGAATACAGGAGTAAGACAAGCTGGCTGCTTATTATCACCGATGATATTCCTAATTGTGGTACACTGGGTTATGCGTCAGACTGTGCGTCGGGAGTGGGGACATAGAATACACTGGACCGATAAGAAGACTCTAGAAGATCTGGATTTCACGGATGGATGATTTATGTTTGATGTCACACAGACTCGAAGACCTAGAGGCGAAAAGCGACAGACTGCCTGAAGAGGCTGGCAGCGAGGACGGGACTCCTGGTGAACATAGCGAAGACGGAGGTGATGAGGATAACTAACCAACCAACCAACAGCAACAACAACCAGCACCAATCACAATCAACAGGAGAGATTTATCAGAGGTGACTTCCTTCGCTTATCTAGGAATCATGGTTTCAACTACAGGCGGAATGAATAAAGACGCCAAAGGCAGAATCGAAAAGGCAAGATACACCTTCATCAGTCTGAAATCAGTTTGGAAATCTTCTGCAATAACTCAGCATAAAGAACAAGATTCGGATTTCCAACACCAATGTTATATCAGTCAGTTCTTCTATACGGGTCAGAAACTCGCACTGTGTGTCACGAAAAGGATTTCCAACAGGTTGCGTCAGACTTTTGTCAACAGTTGCCTTCGCTGACTCCATACTGAAGATCAAAAGGCTGGCTGGAAAGAATAAGCAACAAGAAACCCTGACTGGGAACAAACCAACCAAGAGCCAACTGCTCGACGAATATGCAGAAGAAAGTGGAGATGGATTGACAACACATGCTGTGGAGGTCGCCGAATGACATCGCCCACTAGACCCTCGAGTGGGGATCGAATGGGAACCAACGAGTGGGTCGTCGGTGCGAGGGTGACATGGAGGAGATCGTGCGAGGAGGAGATGAGAGATTATGGTCAATCGTGGATCCATCTGAAGGGGACGGAGGAGATTAGAACAAAGTGGAGATGTGTAGTTGAAGCCCTGTGTTCCACTCGGAACCCAAGGGAATAATAATTATAATAATAAAATAATAATACAAAGGAAATACGTATAAATGGCATCATTTTAACCACCCAGAAGATAGACTGTTATGACATCAGTTCGTTTAGTGACATTCAACTTATTGACGGCATACTTGGTCAGTCTTCTTTCGGTTTAAGTTACTTCAAAATGGAAACCTCTGTTGTTTCGACCTTCAGTCATAATAATCATTATTCAGAATAGATGTTTACCCCAGTGTTAAAGACCTTATCACAAACTAGCAGAGATGATTTACAGTTTTCTCAATTTAGCATTACTTGGATAACTGATTCTACATAGTTCCGTACAATATTCCTCAGTCTAATCAGAGAAATGTATCCAGTCTTAATCGTGTCTAGCCAACTACGAAAAAGTCGATCCTAAAAGCTGACCAGAAGGAGGGGAATTTTTATTGAAATGAAGCTTAACAGCCACTGTGTTTCAACTTTATTGAAACCACGGCGATCAATAGGGATTTCCCATATCATTAATTCATCCAATCACATCACGATGAAAACAAAAGGCCAAATAATATGAATAGTTCTGATTGCTGAAGTGACCAATCAATGTCCATATTTTAGTGTCTGTCTTTCGCTCATGATACCGTGATTGGTTAGACGATTAAGTATATGAATTGTAGTCTGACTGCTTGTTTATCATAACGCAGTAGGAATTTTGTCTGCCAAGAATGATGAGTAACTCGTCAGTTGGTTTGCTCTCTATAGTTACATATCTATCTCATTTTTTAATGTAATACTGAATCTCAATTTTATACTTTCTATAGGGATGAAGTCAAAGCTCTTTTCGAAGCAGCTGATATTGATAAGTCGGGATCACTTTCCTCCGAAGAAGTAAAGAAAATTTTGGAACTGAACTCAGGGAGAAAACTACCAGAGAGCACTGTCCAAGCATTCATCAGGAAGTATGACCTGAACGCAGACGGACAATGGAGTATTGAGGAATTAGCCAAATTACTGGCTAGTGAATAAATTAATGTTTGTTAATCATTTTTGTATGTATTGCCGATAAATTATATATTCGCTTATTAGCATTTTGTTCTCTTTCTTCTCGTGGGTAGTTTATAGATGAAATAAAGTTTGATTATATTTCAATAGTTTACACACAATGATATTCCAAGTTGTTGATAGTTGTACTGAGTCACCCTTGTTACATGTATCCGGTGTGACTTTAATGAATATCGATTCTGTTATAAGTCTTTCTTTCCATTTATTCATGTTAGTTTTCAGAATGCACACATTGTTCCAATCGATATTGTGGTTTCTGTCCCATGCATGTGCAGCTATCGATGAATTTTTTTCAAGATTCTTGTAAGCTTGTGTTCCTGTTGTTTGACCTTTGGTTAGGCGTTTATGTTCATTCACTCTGATTTTGAGTGATCTGGACGTTTGCCCCACATATTTAGTCGGACAGTCAGCACAAGATATTTTGTAAACCAAATTGTTTTCATCCATCATTTTTATGGGATCTTTCAGTTGATTTATTTTATTTTTGACTAGATTAGTCGGTTTAAACGTTGTGCGAATGCCGATATTTTTGAGGTTTCTTTGAATTGCCTCTGATGTACCATTTTTATATGGTATTGTGACTGTTTTTTGTATTCTTCCATCTTGTTATTCTCCGGTTTTACCCTCTTCTTTCTCTTTTTTAAGTTGTCTTTTATAAATTCTTTTGGGTAGTTGTTTTCGAGTAGCATTTTGAATAGGACGCTTATTTCTTTGCACTGGTCCTCTGGTGTTGTTGTAAGTCTACGTATTCGATTTGCAAGACCTTGTATTAATCCTCGTTTCACTGTGAGTGGATGAGCTGAGTGATAATCAAGGAATCTTCCAGAGTGTGTGGTTTTTCTATAAAGTGTCGTTTTTATGCTACCATCTTTTATTCGTTGTATTTTGCAGCCTAACATAGGCAGTTCCCCGATTTTATTCTCTATTTCCATAGTGAATTTTATTGAGTCGACATGGCTGTCTATGTGTGAGAAGAGTTTCTCGATATCGTTTTTTTCACTATTACTAGTGTGTTATCTACATATCTCCACCAAGATTTTAGTGATGACCTGAATGGTTTAAGGGCATTCTCTTCCCAATAATCCATGAATATGTCAGCTATTATTGGTGAGATAGGAGATCCAGTGGCTACTCCTTCATTTTGTTGGTATATTTTCCCTTCGAATGTGAAATATTTTGTTGTCAGACAGAATTCCACCCCTTTTATTATCTCTTCTACGGATAACTGTGTTCTGTCTTTCAGGCCATTATCTTCTTTTAGTTTCTCTTTCAGTGCATTCATGGCCATTTGAATGGGTATTTTCGTATAGAGACTGTTTACATCAAAGCTGACTAGTATTTCCTCTTGCTCTATTTTAGTGGTTTTTAGTCGCCTCACTAATTCAAATGAATCTACTATTCTAGCTTTTGAGTTGTCTCTTGTTGGTCTTAGTATTGTCGAGAGAAATCTTGATAGCATATACGTTGGTGTGTTTCTAAAATCTACAATCGGTCTTATTGGATATCCCTCTTTATGCAATTTTATCTTGCCATATATCCTAGGTATATTACATGATTTTGGCGTAATTTCAAACCATTTTGACTTACCAATTACTTCTTTCATTTGTCTAACTACCTTTGCTGTTTCTTTCATTGTTTTGTTTGTGATTGTTTCAGCTGATTTCGTCATTAGGGTATAGGGCCCAGATTGTAAATGTTCATTCATCTTTTCATTATATGTCGTTTTGTTAAGTATAACTGTTGTGTTCCCTTTGTCTGCTTGGGTAATGACAATGGATTTGTCTGCTTTTATGTCTTGGAGTGCTTTTAGTTCCTCCTCCGTTACATTTAGTTTTCCTGCTTTTTGCTTTTTTAAGGTTAATGCACATTGTGCTCGTACCAGTTCTGCTTTTTGCTTGTCATGTCCTTCGAGTGCTGTTTCAATTACAGGTATAATATCTTCAGGTTTTAATCTTTTGTTGCTAATATTGAAGTTCATCCCTTTCATCAGTACGCTTTCCTCTGCTTCTGTTTGCTTTCTGTCTGACAAGTTTACAATCCAATTGGCTTTAGTTACTTGTCTGTCATTTGGGGTTTTCGCCATCATGAGTTTATTAAATTTTTTTTATTTGTTTCTTCATAGGTAGTTTCTTTTCGTTTTTGTGCAACTTCTAGTATGCTTTCATACTTTTCCTTTTCAATTGCTCCTATCAATTTTTCTTTTGCTTCATTAATATCTTTTCTTATTGTGAATAGCTTTCGTATAATTCCACGTAGGTTTTCTTTGATGCATATTTTTGAGGCATGTGTGAGCGCTGCATTTGCTTTATCAGTAGATATCGGTGATTTTAATCTCATGTATGCAGGAATAATTCAATTTTTTAGGCATCTGATGTTGAAAATTCGATGGTTCATAAATCGAGACTCAGCTTGATATAAATGTGTGAGTTTGTTGGCCAGTCTTTTAATGGGAAGACCGTCAGTTGAATTAATATCAGTAAAAAGTTTGAGCATTGTGGATTAGATTAAATAAAGTATAATTATATTTCAATAGTTTACACACAATGATAAGTTTTGTTATTGGGAGTATTAGGATTTTGATTAGTGTTCTTCCACTAGAAGGTCACTTTTTGATGTGTGTTGGAGTTTATTTAGTCATTCTCAAAGTTAATAAACTGGCGTTTGCCACCAGCTTGTAAACAGTCTTTTCTAGCTGTTGATATCAACACTCATACCTCCTCTCGCATCGACACGTAAATATGTGAAGTATCATGACTATGTGGAACTACTACAGTATTCACCTGCACTGCGTACATAAATGTCCTAACAATGTCAGGACTGTTCGCGTTTTCGGATTGCTGACATCAAGGGTGAACGTCTTCTCAATCTAAATCGTCGATGATGACTGTCAAACTTGAGCTCCTTATTTAGATTTTCACAAGTTGAGGTAGCATGAGGGTGTCGCACATCACGATGTGTTTCCCAGGTCCTCTTCTTTGTCTTATAAACTACTGTCGTTTCCTCAGAAGGACAGGTTAGCGCCACATACATTAACTCGACGCTTGCGTAGTGAACGCATTTCATCATCTGTGGAAATGAGTTTAATAAATACGTAATTCGCTGGAACAGTTGTTTCGACCAATCTTTCGCTTCTCCATATAACATATCTAATCATGAGCTTTACGGGGTATAAGGATAAAACTTGGGCACCGTGGTAGAATATAATTCCATTATGGGTGAAATTTTTATTTTGATAGTCACACAGTGTTATACAGTAATATTTACCGATGACGTTTCGAGAATAATTTATTGCTCGTAATCATATTAAGGTACTCACACAACTTTCTTGCCTCGTTTATATACGTGAATAAAAATTGAGCTTTGTGGGGTATGTAGTATTCAGTATTGTTTTGCTAGTCTCAAAAGTCCATTTTCAGTTAGGTTTCTAGAACACTCATCTACTAGTGAAAGATTGTGTGTTCCACCTTGTTTTGGCTTGATAATTTGTTGTTTAATTTATTTAGAAAGCCAAGACAATAGGAATTTTCTTTAGTCATCGTTTTGTGATTTATTCTAACCTCTCACCACCTATTAACAGTATTCATCTTTCTAACGTTTTCCAATATCTATTATATTTATCATATTGTATTGTTGATTCTTCTTAGTACATATTTTGCTGTCTCCCATACCTTACCCTCGTATCATATCATCTCCGCTCTCTCCGATATCTAATTCTCTACCGCCTTGAACTGTCATTACGCCTGTTTATCATTATTTTGTTGAATTGTCATCTGTTGTTTTCTTCAATTCACAATAGGATTTGCAATCTTGATTAGGATTTATGCTGATTCCTAAGTGTTCATAAAGTTACATATATAGTGATTTTATTAGTCAATGACTCATATGCATATATACATATGTCATGTGATAACCTAATGACTAATGGTATCTTTGTCAATACTGCGTGTCTGAACATGTTAGAGAAATATATAAACTAATGTAACTTTCTATCGTGAAAAACTAGTTACTTCTACAAACCTTGTTGTTCTGGTGAAGTCAAACCATTGCAACCACATCCGTTTACCTCCTAAATAACCCTGAACAACCAATCATAAGAATGTTACGTTAAGACTGGTAAATCTGTTAATTACTCACATACATAGATAACTTTATTCCTTATTAAGTACTGTAATAGTTTCTCAGTTAAACATTATAATCAAATCAATATGTAGACAAAACTAGGTAAGCGAACTATGGATGCAAAGCATACATGGCATTCATGATGAATGATGTGGCTGGTTAATAATAATGATAATAATAATAATAATAATAATAATAATAATAATAATAGCTTTATTCCCTACAGTACTTTGGATACGAATATGGAACTTTCAGCATGTATACAGGGTTATTTTGATGGTTCATCGGTCGAGTTATTGATGGCAACTTCTATAGTTTAACTTCTCCGTCGTTCTTGCGTTATTCCGGTCATAAGTAAGAGTTAGTAGTAAGAATGGAAACTACTTAATTCATTCGGGAAACAACAGAGAATTAGTCCTTTTTCTTCATATTGATTAACTAGACAACTGAACTATTTTTGGCTTTGTCCCCACATACACTGATCCCGTATGTGCATTGACGAACAAGAATAATTTTAAGGAACAATTATTTCCAGTACCTACTTGTTCAGGCTCCATGAGTGTTAGATTACAATAGACAGGAAAGGTGAACTAAAATTATAACAGAAACTGTTTTGGGATACAAGTACAAGTCTGTTGGTTCTGGATATAGGTTAAACGCATACTCGTTGAGAGCATAAGACAAGTGATGGCTAAACATTTAAATGATCTGCTTGTGTATTAGTAATCAACAAAAATATAAGTCTCAGAGAGTGAGTGATACTCCATTGTGTGAGAAGACACAAACATACTACAAAATAAAACAAACAAATGGAGTAGTCTGATTGTAAGTTCAGGGGATGACAAATAAAGTAATGATAGAGTACAGTGCTCATGCAGTAACTGGTAGACAAATAATGAAGACGGAGTAAGCTTAGTGAAAATTCAAAGAGTCACTAATAATCATAATGATAACAGTGTGAAGTTAACCAGGTGTAAAGGAGTAGGAAGAATATAATCAGACATATGAGATTATCGAGATTACCTTATGGTGTTATTCAGTTTATACATGGACTGAAGTACTATTTTTCAAGCACTGATTAGATTTTTTTCTTACTGACCCTTATAGCTTGAGCTACGGCTATGACACGGAACGTCATACCTTTAGGTAGCCTGTTTGACATTTGATATATGACCGTATATGCCTCTTCTATTTTTGATGCGGTGTTCACTTATCTACACTAATTTTGAAATTAGTTCTTCGGGCGAAGACTTAGATCACGCGGAATGTATAAAGTTCATCCTGCAAAGATTTATGAAGGGAACTAATTGTATTATACTGCATTCGCTACCCTCCATAACACTCGTTTTGTTCAAATCATATTCGATCCATTATTAGATGTCTTTTGTTGCAGCTCACTACTCGCTCTAATCACCTGTAGATTCCAGTAACATGTGTTACGGTGAGTCATCTGAAATTAATTATATGAATAAGACGACTAGGACATTCTTAACAGTATAAGTATCAAACGTTTTACGAAGTAAGATTTCGTTTACTGTGAAGAACATTTTCCTATCCTATGCAATGCACAAAACATGTCTTGATATATAATGCATCTATATTTCAGTTTGTTAAGACTGAGAACTTACCGATTACAACTTCTCAACAACTTACTTATGGTAGCTGACAATTTCTATCACTGTATTGTTTAAATACTTACTGTTGTTTGTTAATATATTTATTATATGAGTTGGAAATCATTCCGCCAAATACGAACTCCTAAATTCATCCCTCTCTGTGTTGTTGGTTGATTTCCTGTAATTCGGTCATTGCGAAATACTACTATTACAATTAATTATAACAGTCTACTTACCGTTTCTAAGTCATTTTCGGTATATTCGGAGAGAATTGTCGTGTTTTCTGGCATCAACGGGTGATACTGTACTTCAAGCCACTGGTGAATCACAAGTTCATGACATTGATTTCCGTCACTATTCAACCACCGTGGATTTTATTTGTGAATTAAGTGTGAATGTGTCGAATAACCGCTATTGCATCCCACCAATCTCATCAAGCATTGCGAGCAAACTGGTCATCACGAAATGCATAGTCTGACGAATAGTTTTCTCATCTTGTAGGATTTCGGTTTGCGAACCAACTACATATGCTTTTGTTTAAACGGTTATAGAGCATACGTAGCCTTCATGGCTTAAGTAATTCCGATTACACAGCACCTAACCTGCATTTGTCAGATGACTTTCACTGATGCCTGAAAGTTGTTCACTTGTTATAACTTGTTGTCTTAGGGACGTAATTAAATAACGAAATACACAGCTCAGTGTGTGACAGAGACAGAGCGGAAACAATTTAATTATATCAGAACAATAATCTCACATTGACTGCATCTAGGTGAATAAAGGAATCAATACTTAGGAATGATTAGTACATTTGAACATGAAACATGGAATAATGTTGGGAAGGAAATATTGGATATGTAGTTCACTGAGACAATTGCACCTGTCTCATTTCTGGATGTATTTCATCTTTCGATCTATTCATTCACTTACTCAAATGAATAACCTTGACTTTTAGACATTTATACTTTTTACTATATTTGATTGTTTCATATCATTCATTACACTCAATCTTTGACTTGAGTTCCACTGCTGACCTTACTTTTAAACTTGCACATTATTCCCATCACTTTGATTCATCTGAACTCCACAAGTCATGTTGTCGTCAATGTTTACATATGTGCTTGTTATTTGAGCTTGTAAACGCTTCATGTTGTTCCATCCACTCAGCTTTTCATGTATTCATTATAGTAAAAGTAATGTCTTCTTAAGGCTAACTAGTTAAAACATATACGAATCGTCGCATATTTAAATTAAAGTCTAGAATGTATATTTCCGATTCACTAATCACTTATAGAATGATTTGAATATTAATATCACAAATCAGATTGGTTAATCAGCAGAGTATTGCTATCACTCAAAGTAAGTTCCTTGATAGTAATTGGAAAAGGACAAAGGTTCCAGTGAAGAAGATTATCTTTGCGACGATTTCATAATTTCAGAGTACTCGAATACAAACCGAACATGTAGTTCAGCGAAGAGTCTCTTTTCGGCGAATTCATTTTCTCAGCCGTACAATCACAAATTTATATGATTTATTTTGTATATTTGTGTACATTAAGTTTGTCAAACGAAAATACAATTGGTTATGGTTATTTTTACTAAACAGGTGAAAATGATGAGTAAGTTTTGGGTGGAGTTACGTAATACAAAAGCGGTCAAGAAAATTGGGTTTTAAGGAATATGATGTAGTAACAAAGGTAACGAGTTACGTAATAGTATGGATCGTTTGATGACTGAGTTGTATTGTATTCAGGATACAAATAGGAACAATGTAGAGAATACGAAATGTCGCAAGAGTTCTAAATGAATAGAAGATTTGGTCGTTGAATTTGAATTGGATGTCTTTTATGCCTCAAAGAGCTCCTCATCAAGAAACTGATTGACAACAAAGCCTACAACGAACTCAGATCAAAAGGTGGACGCCTCCCATTTATGTACGGTCTGCCAAGAACACTAGAATTATAAACAATTAAAGAAACAGGCAAACAAACAAAATTAAGTCATCAAAAATCAACAAAGTTCTTACCATGATAATAGAAGTGGTTGAGTAATTCTCTTTTGTATGCACAGCCCCAGTTTTTCTATGTGAATGACCAGAGCTTCAACGATACAAAGAAGACGAAACCGTTTTGCCTTTGGTAAGTTATTCTTGACTCTTTAGATTACTTTGAAGGAGGCCTTGTTGAGATGGAAGGATCAGTGTTAACGAGGTGTTCACTCATCGCACTGCTTATAGCACCACTATTGCCTTTCCACAACCGTGCTGGATAGTGTTCTTGAATCCTCTTGGACAGGATGCGTGTCGAACAACCGATGAACCTGGCTCCACAGCAGCAGGTGAACTGATATATGCACGTAAAAGTGGTCAGATGCGGGATCTTGTCCTTAAGTTTTCTGCAGATCAGTGGGCGACCGGAGAACACTATTCTTAGCGTTGCTGCAAAGAATGTTCTTCTCAGAGACGCTGTGATCCTTCTCTTGAGAATATCGCTTGCTAAATCTCCCTTGAAATCCAAGTTCATGTAGAGTCTCTTTTCCGGTGCAAATGAAGTTTCATTTCTCCGAATTCTTGGTTTGATATTTTTGTCAAAGAATTTTTGTGGGTATCTATTTTGGATGAAGATTTCTCTCAGAAGACCTAATTCTGTTTCTACAGCATCAGGATTACAGATGCGTCGGATGCGGGTGGCAAGCGATTTAACTAAATTACGCTTTTGTTGAGTGGATGCTCAGCTAAAGAAGCTAGTTAGCTGGCCATTCCGAATAGATTTTCTATAGATCGATCTTCTTAAAGTCCATTCAGTACTTCTTGTTAGTACCACACCAAGAAAGGGGACTTTTGATTCGTTTTCCATTTCCATAGTGAAATTTATTGCTGGGTGGCGACAGTTAAATGTCAGCAGCAGTAGATTAGGGTCATTACTGTTGTCACAAATAATGAATATATCATCTACGCATCTTTTATACAGTCGTAAATTATCGGTGCTCGGCATTAGTGAGCAGACCGATAATTAAATCTTCAATTTACTGACCGAATGAAGACAAGTAGGACAAGTACAAGGATCAGAATTCAAAAAGTCTGAATTTGTGTTGACCCACCAACCATTAAGATGTCTCCACTTGCATCAAATGGAATCTGAGAAAGCGGTCGATTCATTACAAACTTGCATAAGTGGCTGGAATTCAAAGAGCACAAATCCATTAACAGGATGCAGTCATCAAACGGAACACATTATCCATTCATTCCTACGGATTCATAATGCATTTTCGTGACAGTGCGACTGTCGAGGATGCGCAACGACAGCCAGTGAACAAAGGACAAGTGATCAAGGCGAAGTGAAGTGACACAACACTTAACAGATTGACAGCACAATCCTGACAAATTCACACCTACCCACCCATGCTTACTGTGTGTGTGTGAGAGAGAGAGAGACAAAAGAACAATATACGGGGGAGTAAAATTTATTTCACTTCTTCGAGATATTACTAATTTACAATTATTATTCAAATTCACTAAAGACACTGCTTAGAAGGACGGCCAACAGCCAGCCATCAACTGATTCAATGATTTGTGGGAGTGAACAGTTGGGCCAACTCGTCAATCGTCCACTGCTGATCACCGTCGGCGTCATGTTGGCTCAGGAATTGCTTCACCGCATCGTCTGGCAATTCACAGCCAACATCATTCTCTAAAACCTTCTTCACCTCATGAGTGGACAGTTTGCCTGACTTGTCGACATCAGCGGCCTCGAAGATAGCTTTGATTTCCTCACTAAAGAAGTGAACATGAGATAGAAGTATGAAGTAAGACTGGTAAGAGTTCACGCATGTACACATCACTGATGGATTAGAGAGGTGAAATTAATGCAAACTAAACATGTGCCATTTAAAAATAAAATCAATCAAACTCACTGTGAAACCATGGTTACAAGATGAAACGGTTTCAGACGAATTCAATCATGCACAATCAAAATCCAGTTTATATAGTGGATAGTGCGTCCAATCAGGTTGTATGGCATGAAGTGAGAAAAGAAAGATCTTTCACATGACTTCGATTTCACTAGAGACGCACATGAACTTCACTCAATCATGTGTTTTCTCGAGTTACTTCATGTGATTTAAGGAACTGATTGAGGGTGATAGTTGTAATTGAGTGACAGAGTTTATGTCCAAAATGGTAGTAAAAATTTTCACATCACCGGATTGTTGTAGATTCACTATCCGCATAGTTTATTAGCAAATTTGTGTTTATGTTATGCCTTGCAGCTGAGAAGTTTAATAATGTAACCATCACTGATGTGGCGATTTCTGTATATATGAGCTATTAATAGCGTGAGTTCATCATACTTCTTAATTGTTTGTAAGTTAAAGTGTACGCATGATTGTCGAATACTATACTGTATGCTTCTGATATGAAACACTTCTGTGAAATTTCACTTCCTAGACTTCGAAAACATAATGTAAGGCAAGACGTACTTTCACAGAAAACACTAACGATTCTTCAAAGTAGTGAGGCAGTATGACTTAAAATAACACCATTGGGTTCAGGTTACTAAATAAGAGTTTACAAGTAATTTCCATAAACTTTACTTCATAAAAGATAGTATAGTCACTTTAATAATATGTGAGTGATTACAAAAAGGAGTGGGTATTGTTTAACAAGACTATACAAAATCAATGCATGGGACTAGGTGGACTGGGTGTTGAGAATTCACTGAGGTATTCTGTGGTTAACTGAAGGCTAGATATTTGTTAATTTCATCATATTTGCGAACAAATGAGAAGTTATGACATAGAATTATGGAAATTTATTCTACCAGAAACAGCTCAGCACGATTGAATTTATCATTTCAAATTAACAGGTCACTTTAACAGAAGAGTCTGGGTTCCTTCAAATTATTTCGTAGTTTATCAGAGCTAGATCACATTATTAGTCTACAGATTGTTATTTTATTCCTGTAAACGCTTGGATAACAAACATAGCATTGATCCTCACCTCCCGCATTCAGTCTCCGACTAATCTGTTCATATAAAAGTTTACTCTCATCTACAGCACGCCTCCCGCTGTGCATTTGACACAGCTTAAATCTAAGCTTATTCGGTAAAACTCACAACATGTCTATCTCAACTAATTACCTAGTACCTTATGCTAGTCTTAGACAATGAGAAGTGGCCGTTTTGCACTTACAAACTAATTGCTACTATTGTATCTTCAACAAACTTTTAACAGACAACGCAAACGAAATAATTCAATCAGTAGTTTACATGTTCACAAAACAACTGGACCATGTGTATTCCAGTTAATAGGAGCAAATATCACATACACGCAAACTTAGAATAGTATTGCAGGTGGAAATACGAATAGGGTTAGTGTGGGTATGCAGGCAAAATCATAAATTCATGAACGGTGAAAATAAACAACACATACAATACGAACACGAATAGGTGTCAATAGTATACTTATCAATCCAACACTAGCTGTGTTGAGATAAAAGGCAAGGAGATATTAGTTCATAAAATTGAAATATAGTTATATAACTGAAAGTCCTAACTGGCGAGACCAATAGTCAGTTGTTTTCTCTGCAGGGGCAAATAGTTCTGCTATTTCACCAGTATTGCATTCTTGATCAGAATCCAAGTCATACCCTACCATGAAATGTTGGAAAACTTCCTCTGAAAAGTCAGTAGCGCGTTCATTCTCCAAGAACCTTGTGCAGAACGTCTTTCTGACTTATCGACATCTGCAGCCTCAAGCATAAATCTAATATGAACAATAATAATAATATTAATCACTGTTCCCTGAAACAGAAGATGAAATGAAATGAAACTGTCTCAGGCGTTTTCCTCTTAGATATCTAACTGGTTTCTAAGTTATGAATAACGTCACATCGAAAAAATCCTCATACCCACCGAGAAGCCACAACTGGAAAACAATAGGCAAAGATAAGTTTATCTCTGTTACAGTAAATCAATTCAGGCAGAATAGAATGTGAAATGCTAAAATAATCATAGAATCGGTTGTCTGACATACAATGAGGGATGCACAATCTTGCATATGATATTGCACTTTTACGAGGGAAGAAAATGACCAAGAATCTATTCCTACCATTAGAGGACATTACACACAAGTCCACAGTCAAATATATTCCTTTGTAAATTAAACTAAGACTTTCCTCCAGTGGTGTGTACAACACAATATAAGAAAAAATGAAATGAACTGAAAGAGAAGTGGGAATGTGAAAGCGTTGCCACGATTTCACCAAATAATGGACCTTTCGTCTAACAAACGAAACTTCAGTATAGATGCCATTAGCTTGATATTAACTAGCGGTAGGTCCTTGGATTAGTATTCTCTTATATTTGGGACTTTTCAGTTGAATGCATCTGCACTCCACTGGATGATAGTTAAAATACTGAGATCCGAACGCCGAATGAATCCTTTCAAGCAACAAAGCTTTATCCACTATTCCAGTATACTGTAATGGTATCCAGGTCATAATAAGAACAACAACACTTCCCAATACAGAACTACACACGTTTACAAGAATCCCCTGTCAGACACCGTCAAAAATAATAAGTTCAAACTGATATTAGAGGTCGTATTCATGTGTCTGTTCAATATCTTCACAAACTGAAAGATGCTGACCAGTGTGGTCCAATAGAATCAAGAAGCCAACAATCACAAATAGAAGCATATAATCTTGATAAAGTGTTTATGTCTCGATAAAAGCTGTGACACCATACACAATTCATCCATAACATTGCTATCAATAGTGTGTTAAGTAAACAAAATCATAATGCAGTTTCCATAGTGAAAGTGAATCTCCCATAAAAATCGAAAAGCTAAAGAATCCACTTTTATCGGTGTATATACACACACAGTGAAAATGATGTCCCTAGTGTATGCCATCTTTAAATGAGTTACGTGTTAGTTCAGTCATTTTCTGTGATCCGCATGGCTGTTTCAGAGAATCACGGGAGAAATGACATTCATCTCCAGCATAGACTGTACTTTAAAGTATGATAAGTAATCATCTCATTTATTAAATTCTGACAATTATCAAATCTTACTTCCGGAAGAAGAATAAATGCTTCAATATTTTACTAACAGCGAAACATTGTATCTAAACATCGTATTTCCCATGCAACCTACCTAGTCAGTCATACAGATAATTGTTTGTTTTTTAATTTTGAAGTAATACGAGTTACCCATTTATGACCAGCAATTGTGTCCGAAATACTACCTAAATTAAATTGACCACTGCATATTAGTGAACACTCATTACCATTTCCTACGTGAATGTATCGATTTATTCCATGAGACGACAACTACTCATTGACACAATGGTACATTTTGATCTCTCCAGTAAATAAATTCCAAACGAGATTCTCTTTTATAAACAGGAGTGTCAAACAAAACGTTATCTAGAAATCTCTACAAAATCATGAAGCTGAAAACATTCTGGGATGATTAGCTATTTTCAATGAACCTTTCTGAAGCTGAACAGTGCCGCATATATTATACTTATTTGACACCGACAAAAATAGAAATATTTCCAGAGATATTTTAGAAACTTCAATCTTATTTCCACCCAATTCTGTACACTATCTAAACATAAATTTTCAGACTATCGAAATACATTGATGGTGGTTTGTTCCAGACAATGGTGACATCATACACACCACAATCAACTGTTTTGATCTTAAACCTCAAGTATTTGTCTGAGTGTTTCAGTGAATTATGATATTTGATAGGGAAATTATTTTCAGCAATCTGTATCTTTTGACAGTCAGACACTCTGCCTAACAAAACTCCATCGTTCTCTGTTTTTGTGAATGCTGTAATTTATCCTCTACTTCGTAGACATTCGAAAAGTCGTGGTTGTGTAAACGAGCTAGATGGGAACGGTACACTTCTTCATCTCCATATGTTTCCATTTCACTTTGTTATTTTATTACCTAAATGGTTTTGAAATTCTTCACCAGATGATATGAATTTTAATTTACCATGTTTCTTTTTGTGGTATATATATCCAAAAGAATAAAAAAATGTATCTACATTTGCGAAGCACCACTACGTAAAACTGAGTGAGTTTTAGTGCTGGAAAATTCGTCTGACCATAGTCGAATTTCAGTAACCTACACTCTTAGAAAAGAGAATCAAATTAATCACTCCGCCTAAAAACAACACTGACACTACAACGTACCTTTAGATGAACCGTAGATACCACGACATGTTACAACCGAGCATTACATGAACGAATATGTTAAAATGGGATTTAGTTATTCGTTTCTTGATATTAGTAGGAAACAAAAAGTAATGGGGGTTCATCCAGCTTGTTGAATAACCGAAAGCAAACATTTGTGAAGATCTCAAAGGCAAACGCTAAAGTTGCTGTTCTACTCGTCAGGAAGCTGAAGAATATTGAATTTAGTGTTCTGTACTATACAGCCGACTGAATGAATCCAAAAAGTTAGTGACTTGAACTAATATATGCACACATGTACCAGTGTAAATAATTAGTTGTCAAATTTATCACTAACAGCAGATTTAAAAATGAATGCTCTGGACATATCGCTTGTAAGTTATGTGGACACAATCGCTTAAATATTCGGTAGGAGAAATTGAGCTTTCATAATTATGGAAGCTTACTCGATCTCCAGAAAACTGCATAAAGTCGCAAGCCTAATGTGTGAAGTAATGTTGAAATTTTGGAAATTTCTTCCATAAACGTCTACAGAAGAACAATATTTCTCCAGCTGTTCATATGGAAGCATCTAATAGCCGACACTTACTCATAGAGCATTATAAGATGAACGATATGTCTCGAATGAATGAAAACCACTACACTGAAATCTGTGAGCTGCAAGGCATAACATAAACACAAATTTGCTAATAAACTATGCGGATAGTGAATCTACAACAATCCGGTGATGTGAAAATTTTTACTACCATTTTGGACATAAACTCTGTCACTCAATTACAACTATCACCCTCAATCAGTTCCTTAAATCACATGAAGTAACTCGAGAAAACACATGATTGAGTGAAGTTCATGTGCGTCTCTAGTGAAATCGAAGTCATGTGAAAGATCTTTCTTTTCTCACTTCATGCCATACAACCTGATTGGACGCACTATCCACTATATAAACTGGATTTTGATTGTGCATGATTGAATTCGTCTGAAACCGTTTCATCTTGTAACCATGGTTTCACAGTGAGTTTGATTGATTTTATTTTTAAATGGCACATGTTTAGTTTGCATTAATTTCACCTCTCTAATCCATCAGTGATGTGTACATGCGTGAACTCTTACCAGTCTTACTTCATACTTCTATCTCATGTTCACTTCTTTAGTGAGGAAATCAAAGCTATCTTCGAGGCCGCTGATGTCGACAAGTCAGGCAAACTGTCCACTCATGAGGTGAAGAAGGTTTTAGAGAATGATGTTGGCTGTGAATTGCCAGACGATGCGGTGAAGCAATTCCTGAGCCAACATGACGCCGACGGTGATCAGCAGTGGACGATTGACGAGTTGGCCCAACTGTTCACTCCCACAAATCATTGAATCAGTTGATGGCTGGCTGTTGGCCGTCCTTCTAAGCAGTGTCTTTAGTGAATTTGAATAATAATTGTAAATTAGTAATATCTCGAAGAAGTGAAATAAATTTTACTCCCCCGTATATTGTTCTTTTGTCTCTCTCTCTCTCTCACACACACACACAGTAAGCATGTGTGGGTAGGTGTGAATTTGTCAGGATTGTGCTGTCAATCTGTTAAGTGTTGTGTCACTTCACTTCGCCTTGATCACTTGTCCTTTGTTCACTGGCTGTCGTTGCGCATCCTCGACAATCGCACTGTCACGAAAATGCATTATGAATCCGTAGGAATGAATGGATAATGTGTTCCGTTTGATGACTGCATCCTGTTAATGGATTTGTGCTCTTTGAATTCCAGCCACTTATGCAAGTTTGTAATGAATCGACCGCTTTCTCAGATTCCATTTGATGCAAGTGGAGACATCTTAATGGTTGGTGGGTCAACACAAATTCAGACTTTTTGAATTCTGATCCTTGTACTTGTCCTACTTGTCTTCATTCGGTCAGTAAATTGAAGATTTAATTATCGGTCTGCTCACTAATGCCGAGCACCGATAATTTACGACTGTATAAAAGATGCGTAGATGATATATTCATTATTTGTGACAACAGTAATGACCCTAATCTACTGCTGCTGACATTTAACTGTCGCCACCCAGCAATAAATTTCACTATGGAAATGGAAAACGAATCAAAAGTCCCCTTTCTTGGTGTGGTACTAACAAGAAGTACTGAATGGACTTTAAGAAGATCGATCTATAGAAAATCTATTCGGAATGGTCAGCTAACTAGCTTCTTTAGCTGAGCATCCACTCAACAAAAGCGTAATTTAGTTAAATCGCTTGCCACCCGCATCCGACGCATCTGTAATCCTGATGCTGTAGAAACAGAATTAGGTCTTCTGAGAGAGATCTTCATCCAAAATAGATACCCACCAAAATTCTTTGACAAAAATATCAAACCAAGAATTCGGAGAAATGAAACTTCATTTGCACCGAAAAAGAGACTCTACATGAACTTGGATTTCAAGGGAGATTTAGCAAGCGATATTCTCAAGAGAAGGATCACAGCATCTCTGAGAAGAACATTCTTTGCAGCAACGCTAAGAATAGTGTTCTCCGGTCGCCCACTGATCTGCAGAAAACTTAAGGACAAGATCCCGCATCTGACCACTTTTACGTGCATATATCAGTTCACCTGCTGCTGTGGAGCCAGGTTCATCGGTTGTTCGACACGCATCCTGTCCAAGAGGATTCAAGAACACTATCCAGCACGGTTGTGGAAAGGCAATAGTGGTGCTATAAGGAGTGCGATGAGTGAACACCTCGTTAACACTGATCCTTCCATCTCAACAAGGCCTCCTTCAAAGTAATCTGAAGAGTCAAGAATAACTTACCAAAGGCAAAACGGTTTCGTCTTCTTTGTATCGTTGAAGCTCTGGTCATTCACATAGAAAAACTGGGGCTGTGCAGACAAAAGAGAATTACTCAACCACTTCTATTATCATGGTAAGAACTTTGTTGATCTTTGATGACTTAATTTTGTTTGTTTGCCTGTTTCTTTAATTGTTTATAATTCTAGTGTTCTTGGCAGACCGTACATAAATGGGAGGCGTCCACCTTTTGATCTGAGTTCGTTGTAGGCTTTGTTGTCAATCAGTTTCTTGATGAGGAGCTCTTTGAGGCATAAAAGACATCCAATTCAAATTCAACGACCAAATCTTCTATTCATTTAGAACTCTTGTGACATTTCGTATTCTCTACATTGTTCCTATTTGTATCCTGAATACAATACAACTCAGTCATCAAACGATCCATACTATTACGTAACTCGTTACCTTTGTTACTACATCATATTCCTTAAAACCCAATTTTCTTGACCGTTTCTGTATTACGTAACTCCACCCAAAACTTACTCATCATTTTCACCTGTTTAGTAAAAATAACCATAACCAATTGTATTTTCGTTTGACAAACTTAATGTACACAAATATACAAAATAAATCATATAAATGTGTGATTGTACGGCTGAGAAAATGAATTCGCCGAAAAGAGACTCTTCGCTGAACTGCATGTTCGGTTGGTATTCGAGTACTCTGAAATTATGAAATCGTCGCAAAGATAATCTTCTTCACTGGAACCTTTGTCCTTTTCCAATTACTATCAAGGAACTTACTTTGAGTGATAGCAATACTCTGCTGATTAACCAATCTGATTTGTGATATTAATATTCAAATCATTCTATAAGTGATTAGTGAATCGGAAATATACATTCTAGACTTTAATTTAAATATGCGACGATTCGTATATGTTTTAACTAGTTAGCCTTAAGAAGACATTACTTTTACTATAATGAATACATGAAAAGCTGAGTGGATGGAACAACATGAAGCGTTTACAAGCTCAAATAACAAGCACATATGTAAACATTGACGACAACATGACTTGTGGAGTTCAGATGAATCAAAGTGATGGGAATAATGTGCAAGTTTAAAAGTAAGGTCAGCAGTGGAACTCAAGTCAAAGATTGAGTGTAATGAATGATATGAAACAATCAAATATAGTAAAAAGTATAAATGTCTAAAAGTCAAGGTTATTCATTTGAGTAAGTGAATGAATAGATCGAAAGATGAAATACATCCAGAAATGAGACAGGTGCAATTGTCTCAGTGAACTACATATCCAATATTTCCTTCCCAACATTATTCCATGTTTCATGTTCAAATGTACTAATCATTCCTAAGCATTGATTCCTTTATTCACCTAGATGCAGTCAATGTGAGATTATTGTTCTGATATAATTAAATTGTTTCCGCTCTGTCTCTGTCACACACTGAGCTGTGTGTTTTTCATGGAACGTTTTTTGATTCTTCGCTGATGATCGTGTTTTTTGATATTTTTATGTTTTTTACGGGTGGTCTCTGAATTTTAATTTTTTTCATTTTTTATATCTGCTTAAATCGTGTTGCTTGTAATGTTTTATTTTTCCTGTTTTTCTTTAGTTTTTAGTTGAATTCCGCGTTTATTGTTCATCGCTCTCAATAGAAGTTTCACGATAACTTTTCATTAGAACGTCTGGAGTTTTCTGCAATTTTCCTGTATGCTCTTCATTCATAATGCGTGGTTGCGAACTTTGTTTGTTTTTCAATATGTTATTATTTCAGGGTTTTATACTGATGGACAAACTGTTGATGCAGTGTTATTGCAAATGTATCTCGGAGATGGTTTGGATGAAGTTTTTATTTCCATGATAATTTTTGTTTTTTCTGGACTTAATTATTCAAGTTTTGTTATACTCTTTAATGATAGTTTACTGGTAATTAGCAATGAAGCTGGAGAATTGTATGCATATTATTTGTTAATTTCATGTCGCGTTCAATGGATATTAGTCCAATTTTTTCACTTAGAAAATTGGATGACAACTTCTAGTTGAGTATCTGTGTATTTATTTATTGATAACGACATGACAAGAAGTTTCGAATTCCAAGTCAATGAAAATGACTAATAGAGACATAAATTATCAACCACTCATGACAGTGGTTGCCAGGAGGTAAAATTGCATCATTCATGGAAAATTTAAATAAGTTCATTTCATACTAGAACTTGCGCTGAAGGGGGATGTTGTCTAGAAGGACGATAAAAGTTTCGTGATTAAATCAACCAACTCAGAGAAGACCACTAATTCAAAGACAGGTTATAACTCAAATCTGATGTGGTAAAATGTAGTTGGACTACCTAATTTACAAATATTTTGAAGTGAAATGGAAACACATGAACTTGTACTTGTACTTGAACAGATTACTGACATACTGACAAGTTGATCCTTGTTTCATGAGAAATAATATGTGAATGAAATACTTCCATTTTCACTACTTACTGTGTACATATTTTCAGTTTTTCATAGTCTTCATTTCCAATACTAAATGATATTTTGATTTCGTAAACAGAGGGACTTGATATCAGTGTATTTCGTCCAAATACGAGTGTAGGAACAGTAATTTCCAGTTTCTCAGTAAATGTTTTCATTTGCGACTTCTAAAATATTAGCGGACAATGCTTTTGAATCAGGCTTTACCCATAGTATTAATACATGCTTTTCTAACTAATGGTGGTGATCTGTGAGTCAGTAGTAAGCGATCGATGCAAATTATTCAAAGAATAATAATAAAAGTACAAATGGTTAGCGCAAATAGCGGTAAGAAAAGTGGGGATATTTTAGGAATAATGTAGTAATTAGATAAATCAGTGATAATTACTATTTTCCACAATTGATAATTAAATTAAGTTGTAAAATTAGGAGTCACATTATGGTGAAGATGATGTAAATAAACAACCAAAGTTTAAATATGACAAAAGTATGAAAATGCTGAAGAATACATAACGGATGGTGCAAAGTTTTACTAATTGGAAGATACACGTAGCTGAAGTTTTTGGTATTTGGGTGGAACAACTCTAATCGGTGTTCCGAATCGGTTGTTCTACTTTTGTCTCCTCCTTGGTCTAGTTAGATTTAATAGGTAAATAAATCAGGCATTAAAACATCTAACTGTCCCTCAGTCTTCTCCTCTTTCATACTTTCACCATAATCACTTAAAATCAATCTGAATGACCGATATTCTTTTTCAAGTATTGGTTTGTAGGGATATGATTGATTGGTTACAGGATTTCATAATGAGCTGACATTGGTTAGACAACCATTGGAAAACCTGGGAGTACTGGACAGCTGTTTCGTCCTAGTTTGGGACAGCTGTCCAGTACTCCCAGGTTTCCCAATGGTTGTCTAACCAATGTCAGCTCATTATGAAATCCTGTAAGCAGTATTCTTTTTAATCAATTCTCCCCAGGTGTTTACAGTTTTATAATAAAATATTTCTTGATTATACAATAAGGGACAGTTATGAGGCGGATACATATTTTACTTAAAATAACCGATTATGACTATAAATGTCGAGATCATAGATATTGTGGATTTCCTGGAATAATTTGAGCTCTAAGTCGAACTGTGTGGTTATAAGACTACTTAAAACAATGCAAGACTCTTCAGAAGATTGTTGTGAAATCCAGAGTTTCTTCAGCAAAATTACTTGAATTAAAGGAATTTAGAATTCACTGGTCATTAAGTAACGGCCCAAGTGGCCGAATGACCATCAAGCTTGGTCTCCAACCTTGAGGGTTTGCAGTTAGATCCCTAGAGGGGTCGTGGGTGCACACTGATGAAGAGATACGGTATAGAACGAAACACCCGTCCTGTGTTCCCTTAATTTCATTGGTCCCTAACTGATATTGGTTCATCACGAAATCTACAGCTGAATTTATTCAAAATATGTAGTCAAATGGCACATAAAGCAAACTGAACTTTTCTGCAAGTCATTAGTAGATAAATGTTTGTAGCAATTGAATACATGTGACTAGTCATCATATGTTTATTACGATGTTGTCGTTTTTCCTCTATAAGGTCTACGTTACAGTGTGTGTAAAACCTGTGAACAATTTTTTTGGTGATGTTTTTAGGTGTTTCATTCACGTTAACTTGTTCTCCATACAACAAACAACACCTATATAGAGAGACAAGTGCACACATATTTTAAAGATTTTACAATGAAAAATCGACAATTTCGTTACGAATACATGGTGACCAGTCACATTTATTCAGTCAGTACAAATATTTACCCACAAATGACCTTTAGAAAAGTCCACTCTGGTTTATGTGCTATTTGACTAAATATTTTGATGCTTATGAAAAATCCGAGTAA